TGCTAGGTTTGTGTGCGGTAGGGTTGATGGTCAACTCTACTTGCACGTCGACAGACAAGATTGTTTTGCAGGACATCGACGTCGTTGCCCAAACTGCTCGCAAGTTCCTTGATGCTGTGTTGCGGAGTGTGCGATCCGGCGGCAGGCAAATAGTGGGGCGGGCACTGGACTTAAAGTCAGCGTACAAACAACTTGCATCAGTGCCATGCGATGCATGGCCGAGCATCCTGGCTGTGTGGGATCCAAGCGAGCGCAAGTATAAATACTTCCGCTTTGCCACGCTGCCCTTTGGAGCGGTGCACTCCGTCACGGCCTTCAACAGAGTCGCCAGGGCTTTGCGTGCCATTCTCTTGAAAATTGTGAGGCTGGTTGTGACGAGCTTTTACGACGACTTTTGTCAACTCGAGCTGCAGGACCTTGCAGACTCAGCGCAGGGAACGGCACAATTGGTCATGCAACTGCTTGGGTGGCGCATTGCGGAGGACCCAAAGAAGTGTCTGCCATTTGCTAAGGTCTTCTCGATGCTGGGAGCCAGCTTCTCTCTCACACGCGCGCCGGAAGGTGTGCTCGAGATCTCCAACAAGGAGGGAAGGTTGCAGGCATTGCGTACACTTGTGAACGCTGTGTGCGCCGATGGCTTCGTACAGCCGGCTGAGTTGGCCAGCTTGAAAGGCAGGTTCATGTATGCCTCGACTCACACGTTCGGGCGGGTGGCTCTTATGGCTGTCAAGTGCTTGTCACGCCACTTGACGTGTGGGGGTGTCATGAAGTTGAGCGATCAGGATTGCACGCTCCTGCAGCATACCGTTGATCTTCTTGAAGACATGAGGCCAAGAGAGATCAAAGCCTCTTCGTGTGAGGTCCCGGTTGTAATCTTCACAGATGGAGCCCACGAGGAGCTGCAAGGCCTCACTTCGCATGGCGCTGTACTGATCGATCGAGCATCTGATGCACGACTTTTCTTCGGAGAAAAGATACCGGGCGACTTTGTGGCGGCTTGGAGCTCCTCGGGCAAGCGTCAGCTAGTGGGCCAAGCCGAGGTACTACCTGTGCTCGTGGCAAAGGTCGTCTGGGCTGACAGACTGAGGCATCGCAAGGTATTATGGTTCATGGACAACGATTCGGCCAAAGCAGCGTTGGGCTCTGGCTCATCCCCTGTCATGGACATGTATGACCGCACAAACGTGGATTGGACGACAGAATGCTTGCAGTCGATCCTTGCTACGTGTACGAGCCCTTCCCTCACAAGCTTGGCAGCAGGCGCCGCAACACCAGAGTTGTAAAGGGGGATATGATCGTGTTGAGGTGCGGTCTGAAGACCTCGTCAAACTCCTCGGTCTCTCTCCTTTGTGCACTGGGTGCATTCAATGCTTGCGCTGGGCGCCTTGCATCCGGGTCAGCTGGGCTGTCCCGTTGTCAAACTCTGTTGAGGACGTCGTTGCCGCCTTTGGAAAAAAAAGACAGGGTCAGTGCGAGTGATTGCATTCTTATTCCGAGAATACTGTTTTAGATATTCTTGGAATTGAATTTATTCGAGTGTCGAATTGTCCGGTGTTTAACTCCGGCATCAATATATATTCATTCACATCCCTGTGAGAATATATTTGCTTTTTCGATAATATGTCCCTCACATCCCT